CTGTCCAGCAACACTTGTTGTTTTGTCTAAGTTTGATCATTTCCATGAATAAATGACAACGTGAGGAAATTATAATCAAAACGGTCAAGGTCATTTAAAGGTCAAATAGGTCTAAAATATTTAAAATGTCTGTTTCGTCATAAGTGTTGTTTTGTCCACGTATGGACACGTACAATACTAACAAAATTATATGACAAATTTACCAAAATTGAATTCTTTTACCTTGACGATCAAGATCATCTTAAGGTCAATGTAATTGTCAGTTCAACCTTACAGAAGGTCTTGTCCAAAAGGTTGTTTTATGGAAGTATGAAAATTATCAATTGATTAAAGATCCTGTATGTTTTGTAATTGTGGTTGTATACCACCCTTACGTGAAATTACATATGTATATAATTATACTTATACAATGTTCAAACATCGAAGAATATGTAAAATATGTACTGCAAATATTTGTACAGATATATAAATGTACTCATTGAAACATTTGACTTAGAATTTATAGAAAACAAATTTCTAATTACCTCTCTTTACTTACATGAAAAAATTAAATTCCGTAACATCTTTATAATTAATGCTTTTTGGAACTTACAATATTGATAAATCTTAATTTGAGAATCATATTGTTTATATAAAACCATAAAACAATGTGTTAAAGGATCTTTAATTACCAAGTTACAGCCATTTATAGTGAACATGACTGGCGAATGAGTAAGCTTATTCCAAAGTATAAGTTACTAATGTAACAGAGTCGAATTTGGAATACAAGTAGATTTGTTAAGATAAAACAAAAGCATAAAACAGATTCTTATCAGAAAAAAGTTTCTGTTTTAAAGAGAAAGATAACTGTTAGTTTCTAAATTTTACAGTGAGTTGGCAATTGAACATTAAACTCTAAAATCTAACTCCATCGCCTTTTAAAGTATTACAAAGGTTTGTATTTAAATTTGCTGTATACTTAGATATAATTACAAAGTATATGAATGGTACAACTGTCAAATGTACACAATAAGATTATAAACAAATTTTATTTATATATCTTAGATATACGCTTTGAAAAAGAGTTTTTTAAGATAACGAAAATCAATAATTTCATAAACAAAGGATTAGCAATAATTTCTGCATGGATATCAATAACTGACGCCTTTACATTATATTTGCCAAATGCATATTAAGATCTGACTTCATGATTTTAACAACTGGGTCAGAAAAACAAGAATATTTTTAACTGTAAACAAGTAGTAATTGTATATGGTAGTAATTATGCACAAAATAAAAAATAAGCGTACCGCATTTTGTTAAATGTTCGTCGACTACTTGTATCAACTGTATTTTAGACGGTAAACACTCGTCAGATATCTTTACAAGAGTGACATCTAGACTTTCATCATACTCTGCTGCAATCACTTCACCACAATGCTTCACATCCTTTTCATCAGATACAGACGTTTTAAGGTACACTTTTGTACCTATGAACTTTTCAGGAGATTTAAATGGACCAAAAATGTGTCTTACTGTAAGGAAACATAATTCCCCAGTTTCTTTAATTTTTAAAATAGGTCCAATTGTTCCATATGATTTGGTACTTAAACTGTATATGCAGCTTCCAATTTTGAGGTCTCTGGGCCGAATAGATGTAGATCCTTTATTCTGATGTTCACCTTTAGATAGATATAAAGAGATTATATCAAAGAAGTCGAGTATGTGGAAAGCTGATAAAATTGAAGATAATATTATCTGAGAAAGTTTAAATTATTAAAAGGAAACTTTTTTTTCTTTTAAAGGTATATTATTATTCTTGAGATCAGTAATGGAAAACATCTAACTATCTGAGTTTTTAATGCAACTCACTTTAACATAAATTATTATATCGTATTGTAATAGTGGTTGTTTTTCTCCTTCACGTTCTGTGCGTTTAGTTACCTGCTAATTCGGTATCAGCATTTTCTAATCGTAGTCTTTTATTGGTGTTATCTGTAACAACATCATCAGCGTGTCTCTTTCCTTCAGGCATTGATTCCCACATGACTTGTTCTGCTCACTCAAACCGGTTTATACTAGAATGGAACAGAAATAGAGCTGAGATTTAAGACTATTAATCTTATACTGTCAACCATGTTCGTAGACATTATTTCAGGAATAACCTCACACTAATAGTATTATCAAATGTTGCCCCTATTTCGTGGAAGCAGAGGCGCAGTTGTTTGATGCTATTTGACTTTTTAAATCATCATGTTTATAAAACAAGTATCTTACATATAAATGTGGAAACATCATATCTTACTATTGATTTACCTGTATCATTATGGAGTCCTTTACAAAAGGAACTATTTTTAAATGGTGGAACGACAATCTTTATCATATTTCACTAAGAAATGTTAAACTCGAAAAAATATAATAGAATACTTTACTAAAGGTACAAAACAAATTGTACATTATCATTGTTGTAGTCGTCTAATAATCGTAAAAATAGAGTTCCAGTGTATGTGTACAAGTGCATCTTGAGATGAAAATGCTTTTATTTTATCAGACAACTGCACAAACTTAGATAACAATTACCCCCAGTGTCGCACGTGTAATTATAAAGTGTTGAGTGAACGATTATATCCGGCCGGATTCCCGTTAGTACTTGATCATAAATAATCAAAATATTTCATCAAAACATGTACATTATAATATTTTGCATAATGAGAACCTTATCACATAAGGTGTAATCATTTGCTAACATAATCAATTGAGCCGCGCCATGACAAAACCAATGTAATGCGTTTGCGACAGCATGGATCCAGACCAGCCTGCGCATCTGCGCAATCTGATCAGGATCCATTCTGTTCGCTTACAAGCCCTATTACAAGTACAGAAACTGATAGCGACAGCATAGATCCTGATCAGACTGCGCGCATGCGCATGCTGGTCTGGATCCATGCTGAGTTGGTTTTGTCATGACACGGCTCAATTGCCTTCATTGATTTTTTCTTCTTTTTTTATCAATAAAATACAGCAATCATGTAAAAATACACATGTATAAAAAACGTGTAATATACATACATTGATATTTTCCATCAATATTCATCTTCATTTTAATCAACAATTATTAATATTATACTGTGATAAAGATCAGATTTATCTTATAGAATAATTGAAAAAAAAAAATGTTGCTCTGAAATTGAGATACTGTAGCAAATAATTCAAAAATCCACCATATCAACTAAATCCCTTGTTCCACATGTGCTAATATTTTATAAGAAATACATATTTTTATCAAATTGCGTTCAAATGCGTATTGTGTCAGATGTTATTATATCACGCACGCATAAAATACTTCAGATCCGAATAGCAAACAATTTTAACCTACTTCGAAGTGTCTTACAATGTTACAACTAATGTTAAGGTCCAACCAGATCAACATATGTTATTCTCATTTTGCTGTTAAAAACTGCTACTTTGAAATCGAAAGCAAATCATCCTACTTTTGCTTTTAGAAATAGGTTCGCAACTTTCACTTTCTTTGTTTTGAGAAATGGTAGAAACGATGTTTTATGATGTAATGCAATCATTTTTAAACAACGTGAAACTATTGATTGTGTTAAAAGATAAAATTTTCACTTTTGCGATATAAGATACAAACGATTTACGCTTTAGATTAAGTGTCATGCTTTACTCGACCTTTGACTTCATTTCATTGGTTGTTACAATATTCAAACACAATTATTGTTTATCTTAAAATGAATATTATTTCTGATAAACGTATACTTACCAAAACATCAGTTCAGTGTCCTTTTTCCATTACAATTAATAAAGCATTTATGTTAAAAAAAAAACAGTTCCATTCTATACATTTAAAGAAATCTGGACTATATATACCCACGAATAAGCAGACGCGAATGCTTCGTCTAAGTTTTTTTTAAACAACTTCCGTTATTGGCAAGCAAAAAGTGTACTGAATGTAGTACACTTGAGCAGAAATTGTTCAAGGTCGCGTTGTGTGCAATACTGCATGCCCGGTAAGAAGGCAGAATTTAAAGAGCGATATCGCAAATAATTGTGGTTGGATATAAACCTTTTTTTATTGAGGGATTTTATTGTCTCCAATGCAATGTCTATAGCCCTCGTAAAGTGGCATGTATAATCAAAACTGTGATAGCTTTTTTGTACGTTTATTTGTTTCTTTTTTCTTTTATATCTGCACCATTCACTCCTCTTGGTTAGGTTCCGCGTGTATTATCTGACAGGCCTACGTAGCATTATCGGTATTATAATATTCATATATATATATAAATGTATGTATGAGAAAGCTACATATAATTTTCATGTTAACTTGAATCATCTATTTTCGTGGCAAGGACTAAATTAAAGTCAGCATTATCAACGAAACCTTGAAATCATACTCTAGTTTACTTAATTTCAGTAAAAATTTACACATGTGTAGTGTGATCTTTTATTATATACATAACAATCAATCATTCTCTTATTACAGATTGGCAATGTGGTATCTCAGTACAGGAAACATTTCGATTTTGTCACCAATGTATTAACAATAGATATGAATACATGTATAAAGTTTTATTTATCTCCCCATATTCCTTCTGTTGCGACATTGAAACAACTCAACGTCTCGTTTTGTTATGTTCACTTTGAGATACAACAAGTGTTTTGCTAAGACAATTTGATGAAAATTGTTTTACAGAAATATTGACAATAGATGTAGATTTCGTAATTGTACAGCAGAAGGTAAAAACAAGAAATATGTGTGGTGCTTAAGTACACAATGCCATGTACATGCATGTCAAAATATTTTGTAGCACTTATTATAACTATGAATATGGAGTCATATTTTATTTAAAAAAAACACAACAAACAAAAACAAAATAAAAAAGGGAGAAAAATAGTTGTTTAAAATCTATCATTGCGTGTTAATATTTTTCGCCAGAAATCACGCATTTTCACAAAACTGCAAATATTATATGCACATTATGTTATGCTGACATGAATAAATAAACTTGGGTATTGGACAATAATTCTACATGGAATCTTTATATACATAAATTACATTTTGGAAGACCATAGGCAGAAAACACAAACTTATTTCTTACATATACATATTTAAAGATCAATTTATGAAAATTTGAAGAATGAATGTTTTGAAAAAAAGAAACAAGTCTATATTGTAATTTTAAACAGTATATCAATTTTTACATACATATCTTGAAATTTAAGAGAGTCTAGCATATTTTGGATACTCTGTCCACGAATAGGAGAAATAATATACATATTGGATGTCACAAGGACACTTCTTTTATTTATACGTTACATTAAAGTTGTGAAATCAAGTAATTCTGAAATTGTTATATAATTCATCAAATACCAAAAACAAAACAAGGGCTTTCATGGAATAACTGAAAGGTGCAGGTTTTCTTTTCAATTAGAGAACTGATAAGTGATTATGTTTTGACTCAATAAACTAAAATGAAGCTAATCTTATTTATTATGAAATGTAGAAATGTAAAATAAGTATATTGTAAGAATTCAAATTCATATTAAACAATATATATATTCAGTTCAATAAAAAACACGCTTTCTTTAGCTTTCGACTTTTATGTTTTCTTAAGAAAAAATGTTTTTGTTACTTTGTTTTTTTTCTGTTGTTTTTTTTTAAATTATGTTAATTACCTTGAGTGATTATACTGTGAATGATAAAAATTCATCACACGGCTACAATCCAGTATCCCACTGAATAAACCAAGTATCTCTCTGGTAAGAATAGAGTAAAAACCCGAATCTCACTGAGCCCAGAATCTCAATGAATAGCATGGAAACCCAGTATCATGGTGTCAAGGGTATACGCATCATTTTTCCGCGTACCGCCGATAATTTATCATCCTATGCGCAACACCGTATCATTCTTACGTAATCTTCTGAAAAGTGCAAGAGGCCAATTCAAAAATGCGAAAATTTCTTACTAAATTTGATTTTATTTAGAGAGTTTGCATACATCACGGAAGTTTTGAATCATTCATCTATGTGTGCAAAACATTTTGTAACAATATTTGTCTGTTATAACCCGAAACTAATGAAAACACTTTTATACATGTGAAACATTTGTGATCTTGAAGCAAACATTTTTTTATCCTTTTCCGAAAGTAAAGCTGTCGGAAGAAGTATAATAATTCAAATGATAGCAAAAGAATTGACCCGAGCTGATAACATACCAATTTTATACAAATAATGCAAAATAATGTTGTGAAATCAAGAAAACTTTGATAAACATGGTACCGCATCATGCAGAACCATGGCACCGCTTCTTTTTGCGCGGTAATACTTTTTTTCTGGGGGGAGGGGTTGGGTATTGCTAATTTTTATTGTAGGATTGACAAGAAGAGGTAGATGTTGGCTATCGGTTAGGGTAAGCGGGGCAGTGGATTACCTGGGCCTGGAAGCAATCTGGACCTCTACAGTTGTTTTTAAAGATAATTTCTTGTTAAAAATGTATGTTTTCGTAGCAGTTGCATTTTATGTCTTTTGTGAGGTTGAACTTTTCTTTGGACTAGGGAATTGCATAATATTAGCAGATTTCAGTAATCGAAATTTTACTCTCAAATTTGTTAATACATCACACAAGCAAGTCAAAGCTCATATTTCTAAAATGGTATTTCTTTTTTACATTTGAATTTTAGTTACTTAACTAATTGACTTGGCACATAACGTACGCATGTTAAGGTGGCAACTATGTATGGTGGCTGATTTGGTACATTGCGCGTTTCGTTGTCGATAGTGACGACGCAACATATATCGTTTTCGCCTTTTCGTCTTGTCGCTAGCGACAATACCAAACGGAGCGTTGTCGCGCTGTTGTCTTGTTGTCCTGTCTCTAGCGCGGCACCCAAAACGGCGCGTTGTCGTGCGGCGTGTTGTCGCGATGTCACATTGTCGCTCGGTTCAAATTATAGGATTGGCTTATAAGCCAGCGACAGAGCGACATCGCGCCGCACGACAACGCAGTTTGGCGTGCCGCGCTAGAAACAGGACCACAAGACGACAGCGCGTCGTTTGGCGCTTTGTCGTGTTGTCGTTAGCGCCAGGACGACAAGACGAAAGTAGGACAACGCGATGTCGCCCTGTCCCTTGGCTTATATTAAGCCAATTCTTCGATTTGAACCGAGCGACAATATGACATCTACGGAATGCCGTTAGGGCCATTGCCTATGAATGTGTTGATCTGAAACGCGATAGTCGATAGGACGATGGTGAAAACGCGAAATCACGAAACTACGATGGTGAAAATGCGAAAGCACGATGATGAAAACGCGAAAGTACGATTATGAAAACGCGACAGTGCGATACTACGATGATGAAAGCGCGATAAACTATCGTGTTTTCACCATCGTACTGTCGCGTTTTCACCATCGTAGTTTCGTGATTTCGCGTTTTCATCATCGTACTGTCGTGTTTTCATCATCGTACTATCGCGTTTTCACCATCGTACTATCGCGTTTTCACCATCGTACTATCGCGTTTTCATCATCGTACTGTCGTGTTTTAATCATCGTACTATCGCGTTTTCACCATCGTACTGTCGTTATTTCATCATCGTACTATCGCGTTTTCATCATCGTACTATCGCGTTTTCACCATCGTAGTTTCGTGATTTCGTGTTTTCACCATCGTACTTTCGACTATCGCGTTTCAGATTAACACATTCATAGGCGATGGCCCTAACGGCATTCCGGAATGCCGTTAGGGCCATCGCCTATGAATGGTTTGATCTGAAACGCGATACTCGACAGTACGATGATGAAAACGCGAAATAGTTTATCGCGTTTTCATCATCGTGGTATCGTACTGTCGCGATTTCATTATCGTACTATCGCGTTTTCATCATCGTGCTTTCGCGTTTTCACCATCGTAGTTTCGTGATTTCGCGTTTTCACCATCGTACTATCGACTATCGTGTTTTAGATCAACACATTCATTGGCGATGGCCCTAACGGCATTCCGTAGACATCGCGACAATACGCCGCACTACAACGCACCGTTTCGCTAGCGCCAACACGACGCACAAAGGTGTTCCAAATCAGCCACAATAGTAAGAAGACACTTTTAAATAACCGTTACTTTCCACATGGATTAAGTGCAGTTGAAATATACGGTGTCCTTCCTGGGACAATTAAAGGACTGCTATTGACATGCTCGATTTTTTCTTGAAGTTTTGTCCGCCTTTCTGTATTTTTATAGATAAAGTAGCAAGATTTTACATTCTCGCAAAATACTTTTCGCGCCATTCAACATTGAATTTGTCGAATAGTTGAACTTTAAACAAGAGATTTAGTCAATCTTAACAGGCGATATTAAACTGCCTAAAACTGGACACTATAGAAACCGATGGACAGTAGTGCGCACCTCATGAGAATATCCAGTTTATCAAGAAATTGGATGGCCATTTCCAGGACCAAAGTAACTGTTGATTTTAGCAAGTTGTTCGTTGGAAGATGGTACAATACTTAGTTTTTTTACATCGTCTGACATTCTATAAAAAAAACAACATTAACGTCACATACACGGCTGAACATTCCGTTAAGGTAAGCATGTGAATAAGGAAACTACTGAATTTGGGGTCCAAAACGTAATCTATATAACATT